GTCTAATATTCGTACTTATGGCCTGTTTTGGGCTTCGTGTGTGTTCGTGTGACTTGGAGTTGTTTCTCGCGAAAACAAAAATCAACAAATGGTCAGCGGTTGCGCTTCAACACCTTATTCTTTTAGGCTTACCATTTCCAATCAGGTTACAAATTTGAAATTAATTCGTTTTTTTTTTTCTTTTAAAACGAAACTGAAACCAGCCATAAACGAAGCCGCGAGTATGATTCGTCACCCGCAAGTACGAAGACTAGGCAAATCTGTACGCTACCCATCATTCCCAGGGCCGCTGAACGATTGCATCGCCAGAGTTCCCTCTAGTTAATTTTAGAAAACTATATGGTGCCAACAATGGGCGCGCCAACGGACGCCGGTCGCGTCGGTTGCGCCTCGCGTCAGAGCTGGCGTAGCGTCACTATGCCCAGCGTGCCCACTCAAGCAAGAAGACAGACGCGCACATCGCGTTCCATTCTGACCCTGCCATTTGCTCCAGAGGGAGGACGTGTGTTCTATTGGTAGATTCCATTCTGTTGCCCTGCGCCAGAGTGGAGTGCTACGTCGCATAGTTCGTCGGCCACTCCGAATCCACCAAGCGATGACACCATTAGATATTCAGATGTGTGCGTAGAGCAAGTAGGATGTAAATAATGGCTACGTGAACGAACTCTCTTTTTTTTCTTTGAGTGCAACGACTCCATTTCGCTTTATCCATCGGTACTGTCCGTAGATTCTGATTTTTCCTACCACATGTCTTTTCATAAGTGTTTCAAGTGCTTGCACGGCCACTAATGATGTGTGTCGCTGGTCGTTGCGCAAAATCAATTCAGTCCTTCGGTAAAACCACTCGCACTTCAAACTTGCCACGGTGCTGTACTGGTTATGGCGCTCGACAGCTCGCCCGAGGGTCACGTGATTGAATCACTGGGGAGTTTTAGAATACCGTTTGCAAGCGCTGCGGGCGTTGCGATCGTAGCGGGTGCTATATGAGTTTTAGAATAGCGTTTGCCCTGCTGGAAACCGCAACGCATGATCGCAGCGACACCGTAGCCTCGAAACCGGCGTTTGCGGGCCACATGCGGGCCGCCATCACCGCACGCAATTTCGGATTTTTTGCGCGCGGGCCGCAAACGCAAACGCCGACTCGCGTTACGGCGCATGCGCAGTGGCAGCGACCACACCACAAGGGCTCGCGGTGTGCTATTCTAAAACTCCCTACTGCCGCAGTGGCCGCAATTTAGTGGAGGCCGTACGCTAGGGACGCATGAACTTGGATTTAGGGGCACGCTGAAGAGCGTCAGATGGTTAAGCTATCGGGAGTGGTCCACTATACGACGTCCTTGTAAACATATCGGGGTTTCGAGACGTAAAGCCCAAGCAATTATTAGGGAGTTTTATAGCCCCGAAATGCGGCCGACGCTACCAGGATCAAACCTGTTATTTTAGAGGTGAGCAGTCGAGCACCCTAACCGTTACAGCGCCGCTGCAGACATGGCGGCACTTCTCTCAAGCATGTTTCGCGGCACGCGTTCATTTAGACATTGAGGCGCTCACATAAATAAGGAAAGAATGAAACCTGCATTCGCACACGACAAAAAAAAAATACATCAGATGGCTTCCACCTTCGAGTGGTACAAGGCTAATGCATAAGAGGCCCTCCAAGTATTTGTAACCCTGGGATGGCTATACATAGCGAATAAAAGGCACCACGCGAAGCATTTCATTTCATGTCATAATCTTAATTACCCTTTCTAATGCGGCACTCGTCCCGACAAATTAGGCTTGCGCCACTCATTGCTCTCAACAACATTCTTTTCTGTCCACCGGGAGCGCTTTTTTTTATGACTTAGTAATAAGGACATGTGCTTTACTCGCCTACCACGCATTAAAGCAAGAAATGTTTAGTATCGTTGTCAAGGTTGGAGGCATCCTTATGGGCCCCTGACCAGCATACTAAATATATATCGTTCCGCTACTTCCGCCACGTTCACTGTCACTCTTTAATGCCGTCTTGCTTCTACGCTCTCACTCATCTAATCTCCTTTTCCCTCATACACCACGCAGTTCTGTTTTTTATATTACTATTACTGTTGAAGTGCTAGCAAGACTCAATTCTTCATCTTGTCAAGCGATATGCTTTATGCACACAAAAAAAAATGGATAGTCATATTGACATTGTTTTATTGCTATAAAAATAACAAGCTGGGCAAATTTTCATTTCTTGAAGAAAAAAAAACGTTGCACCAAAAATCGTAACAAAAAGAGACAAAAGATGCAGAGCGCCGCCCTGATAACTGTTGCAAATGCACTTCTGTGCCTGTTCCGTCTGCTTCTGTTTTCGTTTTCGTACGCCGTTTTTATCCCTGAACTATTTTTTCGTGCACACTTGAAGCGATAATACCGGTCAAACTAACGCATATGCACAAAAAAAACTATAAGGCATGACCGTATTCAAATGTGTATAGATGTCAATCATATCATCATTTTGTTATCCGATGATTATGAAAGTCTCAGAAGCTTGCAGTTTATTTTGTTGCAGGGGCGTAGACAGAAACTTTTTTTTCGTGGGGAGAGGCACGGGCCAGGTGTGCCACACCCTGGCTACGCCCCTGTTTCATGGGGCTACATTTTAAGTCAACTTGCGTGCTTCAGCTTGCACGTTAGTCAACGTGCTTTGTTATTAGTATTACATTGGTCATTGCTTCTTAGTTGCACAGCGTAAAGGCAGACTGAAGAGCAAAACAATTTTAGGGGCGAAGCTCCTTATGGCGTGGCTTGTGCGTCCCTCGTATTACGTAACCACCAGTGGCACATACCCGAAATAGCGGTCCTTACGATTTTGACCTCCAAGGTGGTTCCGGTGAGAGATTTCTTCTGTGCGTTGCTGAACAATAAAATATAGTGCCCAATGCACATGTTAATGGCTGCTAAGGGGGAATGAGAGACAGGAGCATTCGGCCTTTAGGTAACGCGCACGCTGCGATCCCCATTAGCAGCTATTGGCATGTACATTGAGCACGATCTGACAAGAAAGGGCTGGTACGTTATACTCAGTGGGTGTAACCTCCTTGGTTTTAGAAAGGTTTAGCGAGCGTTGGGCCGCATAGCCATGAATACAGTGAACTAGTATATACCATGAACTCGAGGTGGTTAAAGGTGGGAAGTAAACCCGAAGCGCAAGCCGTAAGAAAGTGTGCATGTGCAACCTCCCGTTTAGTCCTTGAAATGTCCGCTGGATGGCGGTGCTTCTATATAGAGAATATATGATGAAAAGATGCGAGATGGTGGTACTTGGAGTGCTGAATAGATGGACGAACGGACACACATACAGATGCATGGATGGACGCATGAACGGACGCAGGCGCGGATGCATGGACGAACGCAGGGACGGACACACGAACAGACGCACGCACGGACGGGTGGATGGACGCATGGACGGTTACACAGACGTACGCAGGAACGGATGGAAGCAAGAACGAATGGACGGACGAATGCTTCGCCCCACTCCCCATCATTCACTCCGTAGATATGCTGCCATTTTTTTCGTTTCGTCCCTTCATCTAACTATTTGGAGGCGGAAATGTTGTAGACCCGTGTGCTCAGATTTGGGTGCACGTTAAAGAACCCCAGGTGGTCGAAATTTCCGGAGCCCTCCACTACGGCGTCTCTCATAATCAAATGGTGGTTTCGGGACGTTGAACCCCACATATCAATCTTCATCTAACTATTCGCTTTCATCGACTGTGTTTAGCATCTTCTGGTAACCATTCTGTCGCTCTTAAGGCCCATATATTGCGAATGTTTGTTTTACTCTTTGCGTGGCCAGCCAAAGTCGGTTTTTTTTTTTTTTTTTGCTTGATATCAACAAAGATTTTGCAACCCCGGTAGGTTCCCTGGCCCATTATGCCATTCTCCGATCTTTTAATGCTCCTCGTATTATTTTTACGTCCCACCTCACACTGCTTATCTTCAACTTTTTCTCTAGTTGTTTTCTTAATTTTTTTTTAACCTCCAAGTTTCAGCTCCATGTGTTTTAAATAGCAGTGTGCAATGACTGTGCACTTTTCGCTTTACCGTCAGTGGCAGATTACTTAACTATATTTAAAGACGTACATGCCTTTGCACTGTTGTTAGCTTCTGCCTGTTAATAGCTTTTCTTTCGTCTCTATTTTTTTTCCTTTTTGTGGTGAGCTTTCCTGCTCTCCTGCCAGTATTTCTGAATACTGCAGAAAGCAAACTGTGTGAAAGCAGTTTGAAGGGTATACACAGGCAATGTAGTACGTGCATATGTCAACTTTCTATCCTTGACTTTGTTTGCTCTCCTTTGTATTGACGTTTACCTACGAAAGGGCGCATTTATTCGTGTGTTTTTGCAGCTGTTTCACCACGGGTGCTGTCTGCAGCACAGCGTGAAGCGAATAGCGTCGCTGAACATTTGCGTATATTTTATTTTCTTTCTATCTCTATCTTTCTCTTACGCAAAGCACACCGAGTGTATAAAATTGTACCTGTTTTTCCTGATTTCCTTGCAGGTGTCTCCCGCGACTTGGTTCCTTCCGGGGTGAACATTGAATTCCGAAGAAGCGCGCTACGCCAGAAAACATGAGCAGTATTAACCGAGAGAAAGGCAAGCCTATTACCTTATCGCGTTAGCTCGTCGATACCGTTCATTCGACTGTCGAGGACATTTCATGTTTCCGAGAAAGGGAAACGAGGGGTGCATCAGTAGGGGGGAGGGAAGGCTTGGACGAGGCCTGGCCAGACGCTTTGCTGTTCTTCCCTCCCTCTCTTCGGCCCCGCCATCGTAAAATGTCGGCTAGGACCGAAAGGGGGGAAGGGCTCGCGCCTGCCAAGGTGGTGGCGGAAGCGGCGACTCGCAGAGCGTCGCTGAAGCTAGTAGACCCGTCCAGTGACTCCACTTCCTCCGCTTTCATTCTTTCTTTCTTTCTTTCTTTCTTTCTTTCTTTCTTTCTTTCTTTCTTTCTTTGCGAGAATCGGCGCGCCGCCTTGTGCAACAAAAGTCCGCACGGACGCTCGCTTCTGAGACAGATGCTGCACTGAGCTGGCCCAAAGAGCATCGAAGACATCTTAAACATTGTAACTTCCTCGAAGGGACAAAATAAGGCACTTTCTTCGAGCTCACTTCACGACTGCTCGAAGAACGGGCCATACTGGAAAGTGCTGAAGGTGAGCTTTTTTTTCTTTCTTTAACAGGGTGCATGAGTTATATTCAGGCAATAGCGTTAAATTGGAGTAATGTTAAATTGATATAAAGTAACACATTGTCAGTAATTCCTGTTTTCAAATGTTAACAAGTGTTATTGTTATTGTTACATGAGCTAAACTGAACATATGCAAGCTATTTTGTTTAGGAGATGCCAGTTAAATTGACTGCTAACTACTCGTTCACCTTTCACTTTTCAGCGCGAATTGCATCGCGAAACAGATATTTCTAGTTTTCCAAATAGTAAGTTATGACAGTTACCTTTATTCTGTCCATCATATTAGCCCGTGTGCTCAGATTTGGGTGCACGTTAAAGAACCCCAGGTGGTCGAAATTTCCGGAGCCCTCCACTACGGCGTCTCTCATAATGATATGGTGGTTTTGGGACGTTAAACCCCACAAATCAATCAATCCATCATATTAGACCGCGTGACAAGCACAACATTCGATCTTGGCATTGCCATGTGGGCAACCACGTGAATCCCACATTATGTGCTGGTAACAGCTGGTCAGATATATAATGCGCTTAATCGCTTCTGTTCAATGATATGCGAAACGAGCAACTTCAGCCGTAATATCTTCGAGTTGCGCTTTCGCATAATTTTCATTCACAAGAAATTGAAAGTGTCAATGGCACTCTTTTATTGCCTTCGTTCGGCAACAAATAGAGGGCGTGGCTAACAAAGACACCTGTGCGGCTAGAGACGCCTCCAGCTAATACCACGTCAGTGGAGTCGCTTTCTTCTTGTATGTCTTCGACTGCATATTTAATTTTTTGTGCATGCAGAGCTAGACGGAAAAACAAAAAAGATACCACGTCGAAGTCAAGAATATCGGCATTTGTGTAACCAGAAAAATGTTGTGTGATGACGTTAGTTAGCTCCCATGTAGCTGCCATGTGGTGGAATATAGTTGAATTTTCGGGTGGGGGGGGGGGGGGTAGTTTTATTGCTACCTGTGCAAGGACATCAAGATCTGAACTTCTATTCTGCTTCTTTGTTGTAAAGTAACATAAGGCTGTAAACAACTCGAAAGAGTGCACAATGCTAAATAAATGCAGTCATGAAAATCTTGAAAGTTTTCTCACGGCTTCCCATCGTAGGGTGTTTGTTTAACTTTACCAGTCTTGTGCCAACTCAGTTAACGTTCTCGACCCATTCGGTCACTAGAGAAAACAGGTGATCTTGTGGATAATAAGAGAATAAACCTCTGATTTCATTTGTGAATGAGTTATGGAATGGTACGCGCTGCCTACGATGATTTTTTTTTTCCTTTTTTAATCCAGTAGCATGTGGATCGAAGACATTTCCATTCGACAGAACATATCTCGCAAGGAGTTCGGTGATATACACCTCCGGAGAGCACTTGTCTTCTGAAAGGTCTCTTTATCTCGGAGCCTGACATTTGGTTTTCGGTTGCAGTAACTCGCAACGCTTGAAAGGCACCTTTGCTCTCACTTTCTCAGTCCCTCGCTCTCAGTCCTCATTTTTCTACTTGCGTAGAGAAGGATAATCTTTAGTGCAGGAGCGGAAAATTACAAATGTCTCTCAGGGATGCTCAGAATTACTTTTAGATGTCATTTTTTTTCTATTTATCACCCATACGTGGAGCGAAAAAAGGTTAGTTTTTATGCACCATCCGTGACAAACATTTTTAATTTCAGTATTCTGCCCTTACTTTGGCAAGAACTCAAACATTCAAGCTTTTCTTTGTAGTCCGCAACATGCATTTTGCTGCGATGTTTTGGTAAATGTTACTACGCCGCTCACTGACACGCCCAAGTGCAATGGTTCCAGATTTAAGCGCGTTTTCAAGGCATAGCCACAGCCACGACCATATTGACGCCAGTGAAAAGTGAGACAAAGATTATGCTACTGCTCACAGGAAGTTATTGCTAGCCCTTTTGAGTCGCTTGAGGGCTACACAGTGTAATGGCTGTTGTATTTTATCACCTTAGTTTCATAGAGACTGCAACCTCAGAAGGCTTTTTTTATTTATGTTTATCATAATAATTAATTCACGCCAGTTTGTGTACATACTATCACAGCATTTTATTTATTTGTTTTTTTGTAAACTTAGAAAATTGCGTCACTGGTTCCCAATGTTCTGAAAACGGCCCACTGTCTTGCCCCTACGCAAGCGTTGCAAAATGGCAATGTGTTAACAACCCTATGCGGCAATGGATGTTGTAACATGATCCTGTGCTTGCCCCTACGCAAGCGTTGCAAAATGGCAATGTTATAACAACCCTATGCGGTAATGGATGCTGTAACACGATCCTCATAGGCACGGCTGGGTGAACCAGCCAAGAAGACGAAATGACGAAGTAGAGAAGTGGCTCACTACATCCGGAGAAAGTGGCACGCAAAAAGGCAGTCGTTCAGTGTGCCATTTCCCTGCCCTTCACCCTTTTGAATGGTTCATTCTCGACGCGTTACGTGCCAAATGACCCACACAACAACCTTACTGCAGGCGCAGGCTTGCGAAACAGACGATGGCAGGGAACATAGACCCAGTGATCGCAATGGGTTTCACTTCATTACAACAGAGCTGTTATTGTCGAGGTTCGCATTGCGTCGTAAATTATCATTGCGCTGGAATGACTCTATGGTAGAATACCGAACTCCCACGAAAAGGACCCAGTCCGAACCCCGTTCCATTCTGTATACTTTTTTCTTATTTTGTTTCTGTATTTCGTGCGACATTAGATACGAACACCGGCGGTGGCGGGGGACAACTACGGCACCCTTGTTATGATCTCATAACAGCTTTCACTGTAAGACGAAATAAGAATAAATATGAAAAATAGAATGGAGTTCGAACCTGAGCCGTCTGAAAGGCAGCCAAGTGTTCTACTACAGAGCCTTGTCGGGGCTCGAACTCCTTCTCAAAAAACACTATACCGGTGTTATGTTGGGAAGAAACCGCGTTAACATGTAATATGGTGGGTTAGAAGAGTAGAATAACAACTGGGCCTCACACAATGCGAACTGCGCGACTAGGCATCGCACAGTAGTAACTGCGTAACGAGAAGTCGTTGAATGCTCCTAACCCATTAAAAAGAGGTTCGGCATTAATTCTTCATCTTTGTCGGCCCCTGCACATAATGATATACAAATGCGTAGCGATCACCTCGCTTCTACTCACAATGACGGATAATAGTGCGGTGGGTGTTTTCCAACTTGACAGAAATTATTATTTATGGCGTATAGTAGATACCTTCTTCTTGCCCCGCCGCGGTGGTCTAGTGGCTAAGGTACTCGGCTGCTGACCCGCAGGGCGCGGGTTCGAATCCCGGCTGTGGTGGCTGCATTTCCGATGGAGGCGGAAATGTTGTAGGCCCGTGTACTCAGATTTGGGTGCACGTTAAAGAACCCCAGGTGGTCTAAATTTCCGGAGCCCTCCAGTACGGCGTCTCTCATAATCATATAGTGGTTTCGGGACGTTAAACCCCGCATATCAATCAATCAATTAATCAGGTACCTTCTTCTTCTTATGTGGTTCTTAAAGGGAAAAGAAGAGAAAAGTGAGTCCCGTAACTGTCTGCATCAGAGTGCGACACCTCAACAGCAGCTCACAAGGGAAGGGGGTAAGGAGAGATTAAAAGGATAGGATTAAAAGGTACCCTGCAAGCGTACTTGTACTAGTGGCCCCGAGGGTTCTAGAAATGCCACTGTCCGCCGCGGTGGAGCAGTGGCGCTGAGGTGCTTGGCTGCTGGCTCGAAGGCGGCCGATTCGATCCTGGTCGCGGTGGTCGTATTTCGGTGGAGACTAAATGGTAGAGACCCCATGTACTGTGTGATATTAGTGCACGTTAAAAAACACCAGCTGGTCGAAACGTCCGAATCCCTCCACTAAGGCGCCTCCCATAATCATGTCTAGGTTTAGGAACGTAAACCCTCAGATATAGTTTTAATAATTATAAATACCGATATAGCTATAATAATTAGAAATACCACTCTTTCAACTTTCGCTGTGAGTGTGTTGCGCTTTCCGCGCAGGCCTGGATTTTTTTTAGTAGACCAGTGTAGTGAGTACTATAGGGTGTGCCCAATTGCTGCGGCGCATTGCTTTAGACGACAGTAAAAATAGCCGTGCATAGTTTAGTATGTTGTAATAAGGGGTGCGAAATAAACAGGTTAGACGGTAAAGGGCTTGCCGAGCCAGGGCTAGATAAAGGTGCCTAGCAGCTCTGGTGTGAATTGACCTTGCGAGACTTTTTTTTCAATAATATGTGGCGTAGAAAGAAGGGGTTCACTTGCGTACGAATTGAACTGAACAATGTCGTAAATCTCTTAACACCCTTGCTTATACATGGCGTACGCAGCCGCACTCTTCTTTTTCGACACTCCGCGTTTATCCTTTCCGTTCATACTCCGGCATTTGCAGAACGGGTCTTCCTTTTGTCGTTCGCTTTTCTACGGGCTTTCTAACCTTTGGGCTTCCTGGCCAGAAAGTTCATTATATTTGAATAATAACGCCCCCTAAAGCACCTGGCACTCAAAGAATTGAATAGCGTACGTTAGATGGTTGGTGTTGCACAGCTAAATCCAGCATCCAGTGAATGTATCTCGAAATCACATAGTAAAAAACAACAAAAAATAACAAAGAATTCAACCAAAGTGGATATAAAATGGGCACTTTTAATTGGGCAGAAGGGCACTGAAGCGGGCCTAAAGGAACCTTGCAGCTGGGTGTTTTATAATCAAGGTCCTGAGAGATATCACGTTGACTGCGTGTAGGCACGTTTTATTCGAAGAGGCTTATCTTTCAGTACCGAGTAACGCAAAGGCATTTAATTTGAATCGAGCGCTTCGGAAAGAGAAGCTGTGATGAAAGAATTGATTGCTCAAAATGGCGAGCTCGAAGCAACTGCGAAAATTCCAGTTATCTTTGCTTACTGATAGTGCTGCTGTTGATAACGGCGGAAGTCGCCTCAAATGCAATCGCATTTTTTCATCCATTGAGATATAACCGCAAATGACCTCGGTGTGAGCGAGTAATATTACTCACTGCTAGAAGCTATGAACACCTAATTTGAAAGCGACATGGTGCTCTTAAAGCGTTCAAACTTTCGTTTGCATGCTTTGTACCAAGCTTCCATTGCGATTCGCTAATCTAATATACTATGCAGATTGCTTTCAATAAACGTTTTATAAATTTGTAGTGAAGCCTTCCATTAAATCTTTTTGATCAAGTACGCAATTCAAATCATATACGGTTCTGGCTTTATGCATGTCCTCGATAGGGTCGCCGCATCTTTCGCTTAGTAGGCTCCAAACGACGCTGACCTTCGTCATCCTTTTCTAGCTGTGTACACAAGCAATAATTAGTAGCACTAGAGCTCAACTGATAGTGCACTACGTTATTCCACGTGCACGTGGGCTGCAGTTCATAAACACCCAAACTTTAAAAGCAGTATCGCCGGGATCTTTAATGAAGTAAGCTATGTGCAAAGGTGATGTGTATTTCGATGGCAGGAAGGCGATTGGACCTTCCTCTTCTTCAAAGCAAATTAAAGCGCCAGTTAAAAGGCAACGAATGCTGGGCAAATGGCAAGGTCTACTATTTTATATGCTGACGACCTCGCGTCCTCCATTTGTAAACGGGCACCCTGGGTCAATCTCCTTGTACATCTCAATTTATTGCAGAATCATAATCGTTGTTTGCTTTAAAATTACAAGCGCAAAGTGACTCGGAATTCATGTCGTGCTGCGGTGAAAGCGGGATAATAAAACATCTTCATTCAGTTTCATAAAAAGGTACCTATTTCCTCCGGTACGAGAACGCCCCGAGTTTCAGGTTCAAGCGATACAAGAATGTGGTAAGCTCGTCAGCCCAAAGTCAACAAAGAAGCCTTTTGTGTCAACCTGCACTTCTGCGTTCGTCAAGTTTCAGCGGAGGATTTCAGCTTAATTCTTTATCAGAGGAATAAACACTGGTGCTGAAGTTTAGCTGATATACATTGTAACACTTTTATATAGCTTGTACTTTTTAGTACTCAACAGAAGAAAATAAGTTGCCAGTTACCTCTCCATGCCAACGGTTCCTCAATTGCCTTTTTTTTTTCAAAATAATTTATTGTTTCAAGTGGGGAACATCTATAGCTTATGTCGGTAATAAAAAAAATCACAGCATATCCACGGAGTGAAGGATGATTAGTGGGGCGAAGCATCCGTCAGCCCGTCCGTGCTTCCGTCCGTCCGTTCGTTCTTGCTTTCGTCCGTCCGCGTGACCATCCGTACGTCCATCCATCTGTCCATGCGTCTGTCCGTGAGTCCGTCCATCCATCTGTCCATCCGCCTTCTAGTCTATCTGTCTGTCTGTCCTTCCGTCTCTGCGTGCGTCCATCTAGTGAACACTCCAAGTACCGCCATCTCGAATCTCGCATCCCCTGTGGCACATATCCGCTTCGCGCGTCCGTCCATCCATTCGTCCGTCAGCTAGTCTGTCTGTCTGTCCGTCCATGCGTCCATCCGTGCGTCCATCTAGTAAAAACTTTAAGTACTGCCGTCTCCCATCGCGCATCCCCTGGGGCACATACCCACTCTAGAGCGGGTATGTGCCACCGGTGGCTACGTACGCACATACATACATACATACATACATACATACATACATACATACATACATACATACATACATACATACATACATACATACATACATACATACATACATACATACATACATACATACATACATACATACATACATACATACATACATACATACATACGGAGGAAGGACAGACCCACGCCCTAAGGAGCTTCGCCCCTAAAAAACACACAAGTCAGAGTGCCACATTTGTCTGTCACTGAAATCCTAGCAACTACCCAGCACATCTGGTCGTCGCGCGGTTTTCTCAGCTCCCGGAAATAAGGTTGTTGTTCTGAGTCAGCGCCATCGACGAGCATCGCTTCGGCAGCGCCACTTCAACGTGGGCAACAAGTCGGGTTCCGTGCGATGGCAATCGTGCGGGAATGAGGCGGAAAAGTTTTGGCCGCTTCGGCTTTGTCCTTTAGGCCGGCCAGGTTGCCTCCCTCCGAACGGGCCCGATTTAGGTCCGATGTATTTTTGAAATGCCGCTGAGGCTCGCTTGCATTCTCCGTGTGGCAGCGTGCTTCACTGCATCCGGAAACAAGCCGGCGCCCACTCCGCCTACACTTCCTTCCTCCTTCCCACAGTAACAACAATGGCGCTAAATTAAGCACGCTGACGGTCCCACGCATACGAGACGGCCCTTACAACCCCCTCTTCCACCTGACGCTCCCGTGACAAAGTCGTGATCTAGCAGAACGTGCAGCTCTTCTCACTACGAACGCACGACACCACCCTCTCTGTGAGTTGTATAGATCCTCATCCGAAATAGACGTTATGCTGTGAGACCTAGATACCCCCCGCATTATGGATGCAAAATTATGCAATGCACTCAGCTGTGACGACAGCATGAGACGACGAGTTTATAAAATGTGTCTTGCGTGAGGGCCCACCTATCATTACGCTGGTTTGACAGAATCAGTTAAGTTCCTCAGTTTTTTTTAACTGCAGTTAATTACGTCCATACAAATGCATGAAAACCTCAGCTCCCGAAGTTAGCACCATGATATGCGTGATTTTTAAAGGCGCAGTGCCATTATCTATAGATACAAGAGAGATTTGTGAAGCTCGCTGATGGACACTCTATAGAGATGGTCAGGTGTTAGCAGGGCGTCGTGCTTTAGTGTTTCGTCAAGGCTAGTCGTGCAAGGCTAGTCATCAACAATCATCAATTGCAACCATTAATACAAGGTCCGTATTCTGGCGGCGTTCTAATTGGAGCACGATACGTGTGATAACTTCAAAATTGTTGGCCTAGAGTGACATCAAACAGCGGCACGACAAAGATACGTGTTAAGCACCAGTAAGTGTAACTGTGTAGCTTGTATATTTCGTCCTTTAAATCACCGGGAAGTGCAACTTCCTCGCAAGACACTTCTATCTTTCTTGCTATTCAGCACTTTAAAAAAAATGATTAAGACCTTCAGTTCATGTACTTTTCAAGAGTGCTTCTGCTTGCACTAGCTTATGTAGCATATTGTATTTTTGGACGTCTTTGAACCAAACAGAGAGAGTGAAACGCACAGAAACAGGCACATAGGCAATACCGTTATTTTTTGTGTGTGTGCTTTCTGCTCAGACATTTTCACTGCTTTGATCGTTCCTATCATAGACAGAAATGTCTTGTGTGCGTAGAGATGCTTCCGTTTGGCGTATCATTGTGTTGTTTCTATATTTATTTATGCTCATGACCATTTCTAATGCAATCATGTTTTGTTTGTTTCGTTTTCAGAATGATGACCGCTACGCTGCTCGTGGGCTGTGTCCTAGTCTTCTTGGCAGCCAGCGGTGCTCAAGAGTCGCCTGATGACGTCGTTCAGACCATTAATGGTCCTCTGCGGGGCGTAGATGTTCCTACAACAACATCGTCGGTGCGCGCGTACCTAGGTGTTCCCTTCGGGGAGCCCCCGGTTGGAGATCTTCGCTTCAAAAAGCCAGTGCCAAAAAAGCCGTGGAAGGGCGTTTACAATGCCACTTCGCAGCCACCACTCTGCCCTCAAATGCCCGTCCGAATCAATAATTTCTTTCTCGTCGAAGACTCGGATCCCGTGTCCGAAGATTGTCTGTACCTGAATGTGTTCGTTCCTACAAAGAGGAACTCTAGCTTGCTTCCCGTGATCGTATATTTGCCAGGTGGTGGATTTTCTTATGGCGGCATCTCCATCGGAGCCATGGACACATCGGAGCTGTCAGCGAGAGGCAATGTCATAACCGTCACGGTCGGTTATAGGTTGGGCGCCTTCGGATTTCTCTACATGGGCTTCGAAGACGCTCCTGGAAACATGGGCCTCTACGACCAGCTTCTAGCTCTCGAGTGGGTCAAGAACAACATCCGCTCATTCGGAGGTGATCCGTCCAGGGTAACGCTGATGGGCGAAAGTGCCGGCTCCATTTCAGTTGGAATGCAACTCATATCACCAAAGAGCAAGGGTCTCTACAAGCGTGCCGTAATGCAGAGTGGAAGTCCATTCACTGCCGCTGTGGTGAGCGACCTGGACCAGGGACTATTTCGATCTCACCTGCTTAGCAGGACTCTGGGTTGCGATGGAGGCGAGGACAAGTACGATGCTGAAACTGTCCTCAAGTGCCTCAAGTCGAAGCCTTTCATGGACATATTGAACGCCACTGAGAGCTTCAACGCTGGTGGCTTGGACTCGTTCTTCCCCGTTTTTGGAGAGGATATGCTGCCCGAAACACCTGCGGCCGCACTGAAGCGTGGAATAGTGAACGCTGACGAACTCTTGACCGGAATTTGCGAATCAGAAGGCGACCTTTTTCTTTACTTCCTGTTCAACAAGCTTCGTGACATGAACACCATTGATGATGTTATGAATGGAGAGATGATATTCCTTATCAAAGCTCTTATCACCTCGACCATGGAGGTAGACCCCGACCCTATAATCAAGTATTACTACAGCGGTGTGAATGCGACCCAAGGTAGAGAGTCCGTCTACATTGGGTCTTCGTTAATTGGAGACATGCAATTCGGCTGTCCGACGATCGGCTTCGCGAAGAGGTTCCTCGGCACAGGTAGGACAGTCTATATGTACCAGTGGTCGCAACAAGCTTCCTTCGTCGACTGGCCTGACTGGACACGACCAACGCATGGAGACGACATATTTTTTAGCCTTGGCTCTGGCCTCAAACTGGCTAAGAATGCCACCAAAGATGACATCAAGGCGACAGAAAACTTCATACACATACTGTCCACTTTCAGTCACACAGGGTAAGCCATTCATTTACTTTGGTAATGGTCAGGTAATCGGTCAAAGTGGTAAATTGTACAAATCTAATGGTCGCAAGCGTTAATACGTTACGCATCTCTCCAGCGTCAAAATTCCTAACGTATGTTGAACAACGCTTCGCAAGGTGCCAGCAAATTTAATTTAGGCTTTGTGATAAACGCAACGCTGCCACACGGCAGGCTATTTTCGATATGTTAAACTAATTGTGAACACTTGTGGCTTATGTTCACTGCAGTCACGTAACAGAATTAAATCAACAATACCCAATGATATGTCGCAATAATGCTCTGTAAGCATGTTCCTTTGGGTAGGTACTGTTGACTGTGGCGCAAAAAAACACATTTCGGGAAAGGGGGATAGAAAAGAGAAGGAAGTGAAGCGCGAACTGACATTACTGGAAACGCAGGAAAAATAGTAGCACCTTCGGCACATACTTAAAGAGCCAAGGTGCAACGTGAACGACGTGGTCAAGATGCCCCGTCATCAATGAGTGCGTATTTCTCGAACAGTACAATCGTATCAAACCGAAAAAGGGGCTGAATCGGTCCCGTAATATGAGGCCAGATTTTAATTTTTGATTGATTGATATGTGAGGTTTAACGTTCAAGACCACCATACGATTATGCGACACGCCGTAGTGGAAGGTTCCGGAAATTTCGAACACCTGAGGTTTTTTTTTTTTTTTTACGTGCACGCAAATCAGAGCACACGGGCCTACAATATTTTTGCCTCCATCGAAATTGCCACCGCCATAGCCTGCATTCAATCCTGCAACTTGCGGGTCAGCAGCCGAGTACCTATAGCCACTAGAATATCACGGTGGGGCCAGTTTTTAGTTTTTATATTAACTTTAAAAACTATATACTAAAAGCAACCATATAGTTTTCTTTATTCGTATAAATATTTATCCAGTCAGACGGATCTCTGTCTAATACCTTCACCTTAAAATTATATAGGTGTGTCACTGACACAAAAAGACGCTTTTTTTTTTGTAGGAGGCTTACGAAAACTCTCTAAAAGCTTGTTTCGTACTTTTTTACGATAATCAGTACTAGTGCAAAGCACCGTACACAACGATGCGTGTTATCTCTCTTAGCTATGAGGCTAGAATTCTCTCTCAATCCGTCATTAGGTAAGCGGGTTGGTCTTATTACACATCCCACATTTCATTTTATCGTGTCTGTGACTCTACGTATTATTTGTGACTATATGTTTTTAACGCCTATACCATAGTCATCACCAAATACGTGGAGTAGGAAGCCAAACGAAAAGCCAGGCTAAAATCTTCGGGGATGTCCTCAAAATTGATATCTAGCTTCCACAAATAGCATCGGTAACTAACTTTCAGCACTATTCGTTGGCAATTCAGTTGAGCAATGGCAAAAATAGCGCACCGGATATTTTAGTTCATAAAAAAAGAAGTTTACTACAGTCCGATTGATGATTTATTGATTGATATGTGGGGTATAACGTCTCAAAACCATTATAAAATTATGAGAGGCACAATAGTGGGGGACTCCGAAAATTCCAACCACTTGGTATCTTTAATGTGCATGCACCCAAATCTGAGCACACGGACCTACAGCATTTTCACCTCCATCGAAAATGCAGCCACCACTGGCTACAGTCCGATACGATTTAAGACGGTGGGAGAGTACCTGGCCAGATAAGCGAAGCTCGGGTGCCGATCGTCTCCGTGACTTAACGAAGATAAGCTTTCTGACAGTAAGGTCACCGACCGTCCGGCTTCAGACGTCAGTTCGGGAAATAACACTCATTGGTGCAGGTACATTCACATTTGAGGGCGTAAATGACGCTACCTTGTAAACTTTACTGACTACAGAACTAACCTTTTGCATTGTGTATATTTTTTTCCTATTTTCTAGGGTTCCGAAAGTCCTCGATGGCACCACATGGCCGAAATTCAATGACGAAGAGCAGTACCTGGACCTCCGACGGGAGGGAAACGTGGTCAAGAAGCGGTTGCTTCAAGCTGCATGTGAATTTTGGGGCAAGGTGCATCCTTATCAGTGAAGATGTCTAACGTTCGGCCTTATACAGTGCATTACTGAACATCATAGCAAATACCATTGCACGTTTGTGATAGCTGACGAGTGGGTTTCGACTGGAGTTGTCCTAATTACATGTGCACAATCACATCCGCATAACATCTCCATTCTTATGCCACTCCGAATTTCATATACGTTGTGTACCTGTCAGATAGCGTATAAAAATATTTACAACAATGTACAGATATTTACATATTTGTCATGTACATACAGTGAGATCAAATTAATGCAGCGGGTCGACAAGTTTAGCCATTTAGCTACTGTTACTCCTATAGATGTCTTCTATGTCCTGTTGAATGTTATGACATTTCCTGTTTCCCATATGATGCAGTGCATCATGTGCAATGTAGTTCTGTTTTCTCTTGAAAAGAGACTTGTATTCGTCGCCTTATTAGTTGTTGTTGCTTTGCTGTTGAAAGCGATATGTGTAATGTAATTTGTGAAATTTTATTGTTACCAATGCAGTGTTATCGTGTTCCATTTTTCCGCGACGTGCTTCCAACATGATATGTCAAGCATTAGGTACGCTCTTATTACCGGGGCTGGGGCTTTTGCTGTGATATCATGGCAACGTATAAAAATACGACGCGACAATTATGTGAAGATGTGCCCATTGAGGCGCACAACGTTGTTTTGGGCAATCAGTCCCCCTCCTTTTATGTTTTAAAGCACATTTAGTAACGTAAATATTCTTCTTTAACGTACTAAGCAGCATTAAACACTAATGCTTGCTTATACATTCGAATTATAAATTGACATTCTTTCTGTAAACACGGAATCTATATACAATATGTTCAGTTGGCAATCTCAACCCGGTGATTGGTGAACGTCATTCATGTTGCGACATATTTGATGGTTAAAAATATCTTTTCCCGTGATCTTTAAGGCATTCAGTGAAAGCTTAAGCACGAACTTACCTAACAGGACCTCAAAAACTCGTGCGCGTACTGGAAATTAGATTCCGCGTTTTCAAAGGGTATGAGGAAAAAGTATGTACAGAACAGGAGCGTTTCCCGTTTCTTATTACGCCGAGTACGTTGCACTACCGTGTAATACAAAACCTGAGCGCGATCTTTGCGGAATACACGGCAACTTCACGTCGCGTGGCAGCTCTTACCAAGTAATTACGCAGAAAACGGAAACTAAATAGTTGCCGGATTCGTTGGCCCAACATCTTGCGAAAGGGGCCGTAGAGGCGGCTCTCGTCCTGTGTGCTTCTGAAACGCTTCTGCTGTCCCCTTCCCAAGATGGAGGGGCACTTGACGCAGCTTAACGTAACCGACGTCGTCATCTTCCGCAGTCAAACAAGCTAACAACAAGCGAGCACTGCGCTGGGACGCAGTGCGAGTGAATTCAAAAGAACTTTGGCTAGCCTGTTCATTCGCCGTGTAATGCGCGGATTACATGGAGCATTGGAGGGCGACCTCAATTGCCTCAGAAACTGCCTTCCGGGGTGTGCTGTAGTGAAGGTTTCTGGCGTCTGTCGAGAAGCACGTTACAGATTATCTATCTTTGTGACAATCGATCAAATTAGGTTGGACTGTGTTTATTCTGTGTCATGTAGTAGCCATATTTGTGTCGTGTAGTTGCCATAGTAGTTCCGTAGCAAGCTGGTGGTGCTATTAAGACAAATGCATTGTGCCCTATGGACATGCGTCAAATGTTACGAAATGACATTGTGCAGACACGTACTAACCATGCAGAGTTTGACATAAGTGTTTTCTGTTGTTGTTGTTTTCTCACGCATGCACTTTGCACAAAAAACGCGCGTTTTTATTTGTGTTGCTGTTATTTGTGAATCCTGTTAGTACTGGTTTTGCATTGTTGTAATCGTTTATGCAAAAGCATGTTGAAATTTTGGGCATCTAAAAATGAAACTCCTTCGAAGCGACCCATTTTCAGTTTTTTTTTCTCGGTTATATGTTTGTCTTTATATTACATATTAGTTATATAGAGCATGTATTAGTCTCTGCGCGTCACACACATTGAACTTGTGTAAGCACTGCGTCACATCTAGTTATTTCTTGAGCATAGAGAGGTTCCGACGTCTACACACGACTGTTATACGCAGTTTGCCAAGTTTCATGCATTTTTGGCGAACGTAGACGCTTCATATCACATAACTATATTTATTAGATAAAGCCAATGTATACTACTTCGAATTCAAGCAGCTAACTAGCATGGACATCAGGAAACTTAATTAACGCAAAAACACGAAACAAACATGAAAACGCACGTGCACAATTCTAGCCACGAGGCTAGTGTTGCTCTTTCGGAAGTGTTAACTCATTTCATTAACTGTTGGCCTTTAAAACACATACTTTAAACATCGTTCCAACGCAGTACTTGTAAACGCAGCGTCCTATTAAATTGTGTGTTCACCTGTCGCCTCTCGCTTTATTAAAATTATTGACATATCAAATCAGTTTCTGACAATATAGTTGGCTGTAACATTAACATCAGATAGTGCGCCCTATGTCAACCCTTCAAGAACCGTAAGTACAATGCAATATTATTCATAGTTAAGTGCATATTAAGTGCATATCATAGTTAAGTGCATGAAGTTCCCTCTAAGGGCTGCGTGATATGCTAGTTGACTAATAATTAAATAAGACATTTGTGCTTTTAGGAAAGTTTACGCTTCTGATTTTACAAATCACTCGCTTCTTAACAGAGCCATGGGTCATATTTAGGAGATGGTTATTTCTGAATGAATTCAGCTTACAAACAAGACAAGAAAATAATTCACTGAAGTCATCATGTTTTACCGCATAACCATTTATGAAATGCTTATGTGAAAATTATCCACAAGAAATCTATATAAAAGTAACAGATTGCATTGCACATTCAGGGGCAGCTCAGCACGTATGTAATAAATTATAACTATACAAATGGTCCAAACAATTGTGTTTTATAAATAGTTATTTGTAGTGTAAGGAAAGTTTCAGCAAATTGTTACAACCGTACTTCTTGGGCCGAGTCACTTTAACCACTAATCAAACTTCTATCAGAAATCTACAGACTCAACTTTCCAAATCAACGTTGAACTACGAGAAGTGCTGCATGCTCTCTGGGTAATCTTAAGCAGTTCACCTTCTCTTGCCGGCACTTTCAGACATTTATGCAAGCATTTTGCCCCCATGACTAGCTAGCGCTCTAACCCACAGCACAGGACGTCGCAATGGACTGTCAAAGTCACTTTGCATTTGCGGTATGCACGGTAGCCACCTGTATTTTTGTTAACGACCGACTTTTGCCACAGAGAATCCAACTACAAATGCTCATTTAAAGATAATGCCACCCAGGCGTGGACCAATGCGCTCATCTATGCGTGAAGGGACAATACACCGAATACCCCTTTTTATTGGATGGAGGGAATTCCTTGTGTTGAGACGAGGCGTGTGTAAATGGCAATCGATGAAAACGAATCTTATCCAAATACAAACAGTGTCACAGGCTAATTGATTCTACTTGAATATCGAATAATTTTCAAATACTGGGCAGTTGTTTCTTCAATCCCTATAAATTGATACACACGTGCTCCTACACGTAACTTCATAATAACGGCACAGCAGATCATCAGTTGCGATTATATATACATCAGTTGCGATATATATATATATATATATATATATATATATATATATATATATATATATATATGTATATATATATATATATATATATAGTCTGTTGCATTACCGTAAGTTGTGATTGCTGAGCCTGCGGGAATATATCTTCTGGTGCCTTATCAGTTTGGGCTTGGGCTCAGAGTGCATTATTGAATTGCTGCAATATATTAAAACATATTCATATTGTTACGGTTAGATTGAGTTTAACTATGTTTATTTACAGGAGAGATCAGGCGACGATCGGAGATGATGGCAAACATAGGCCGAACCAAGTAACTTCCTCTTCCTCCACCTTTGTCCCCAAAACATGGCCCGGCTCATACCGTATCATTCCCCGGTTCACAGACGAAGCCCACTGGGCGAGCCGAATCATTGGCGTAGTGTGGGATGGAACTGCTTGAGACGAGCTACATGCGCCAACTGTGTTTGACTTGACCGAGGACCAGATGACGTCAAGCGTGTCACCACGTAGGTCAAGTCACTCAGGCGATTTACGATAACGAATGGACCGACATAGTGCGCTAAAAATTTCTGGCATAAGCCACGTTCCCGCTGAGGGGTCCACAACCACACGGGATCCCCTTTTTCAAATAAAACGGTGTCGTGGCGTTAATCAGACCTCTCCTTGGAGCGATCTTGCGATGCCAGTGTGCGAATATGGGCAATTTAGCGGGCTTCTTCAGCTCGGCACAGTGTTTGGGCAACTGAATCGTCCGTATGGAGCTCGTATGGAAGTACCGTATCGAGGCAGCTTCAGGATGGTCGAGCGTAGAGTAGGTAGAACGTAGGGAAGTCCGTGGTTTCGTGCTTCGCTGTATTATAAGCATAGGTGGTGAATGGCAAAATGTCATGCCAGCTCCTGTGATTTGAGGATACATACATAGCCAGCATACTACTAAGCGTGCGGTTTGTGCGTTCCACAAGGCCATTCGTCTGGGGATGATATGGCGTTGAATGGCGAAACTGTGAAGTGCAGAGACGAAGCAATTCCTCTACAATGTCGGCGACGAACTGGCGACCGCGATCAATGAGGATGACACGAGGTAGACCATGGCGAAGAGCGATGGATCGTAACAGGAAAGAGGCAACGGAATCCGCTGTGGAAGATGGTATTGCAGCAGTTTCCGCATATCTGGTAAGGTGATTGACGCAGACTATGATCCAGCGGTTGTTGTTGCAAGACCGCAGAAACGGTCCTAGCAGGTCGATACCAACTTGTTCGAAAGGTGTTGTGGGTGGCGTTATAGGGTGAAGGAGGCCATGCGGACTGCTTGTAGGACGTTTGTGGCGCTGGCATTTGTCGCAACTGGAGACGTATTGCTTCGTACATTGTTGCATTTTAAGCCAGTAGAAGCGCTCTTGAGTTCGATGCAAAGTGCGGATGAATCCAAGATGGCCAGACGTCGGGTCATCATGCATGAAATAGAGGACGCCATACCGCAGGCTTTGGGGAACCACTAGCAAATACCACACACCTTTGCCGAGAAATTCACCTTGTACAACAGTCCATCGCGAAGACAAAAGCGCAAAAAAGTGCTATTTTTTTTTCGGTGACTACATCGAACACGGCACCACTGGATTCGCCGTGCGAAATTTTCAATTGTTCGCAGGCTACTACTGCCGGGTTTCGCTTTGGTACAAAAGCATTCACTGTAGCTTCTCCCTTGCTCACGAGATATGCTGGAGAGTAATTACAACAACACCGAGGATATACAACAAACCCACCGTAAAACTGGGGAAGCACTATAGTACGTCCTGTTGCACCGTGTTGTGAGGGAAGAAACCGAAAATCCCGAAGGGTTAGAACCGTTTATTTTGAAAATCAGAACATGAACCTGTTCATAATATTGCCTTTTAATGCGAAGCATCTTGTGGTCGAGTTCACTCCGATGTGCAGCGTGACCACCTTTACTACGCATGTGTGTCCTCTCCCTTTCTCTCTTATCTTCTACGCCCCTCTCTCGTCTTGCACTGCTGACGCAGGCAGCATTTATTTATTTATTTATTTATTTATTTATTTATTTATTTATTTATTTATTTATTTACATATACTGCAACCCCATTAAGGTATCTTCGCAGGATGGGATACAAAGATTTGATACAACTAGTAGGGCAAACAACAACAATGAAAAACAAACTACATGTGATACAAAATCTATGCCGATATAGATAAAATTGCAACGACATGTCAAATACAGGTATTAACACAACGAAAAGGAAAATAAGCTAGTTACACAATATGGGACATAAACAAATTCCGAGATGGCTGCAACACCACATTGTTGGACAGTTGATTCCATTCATTTATGACCCTGGGAAAAAAAATTAATTTAAGCAGTTGTTGCGAGAAGTGAAAGGGGCGATTGTTAGCGCATGTCGCTGTCTTGCAGCATAACCTGTAGAAAAGGAGATGATCTCGGCCATATCAACACTGTGGTGTCACTTAAAAAGGTAATAGAGACATTTTATTTGAGAACATGATTTCTTTGTGTCAAGGTTTGTAGATTGGCTCTTTTTAGCAAGGCTGTCATTGAAGTGCGTCCAAAGCTGTTGCATATATATCAAACCGCCCACTTTTGAATGCATTCTACTTTATCAATGTATTTTTTGGTAAATGGATACCAGATTATGGCTGCGAGTTTCTTGATGGTATAACCTGACTGTTCGCCCTGCACAACTGTGCACTGCCCACCCTGTATATGTAGAGACTGTATCTTGACCTTCAAGGTAGTGCTGGTGGGAGATTTCTCCTATGCATTGTTGAACCATGAAAATTCGCAGCTTGCGTGTTAAATAAAAGCAAACTGCGGGCCACCTGCTTTGCATTGTTCTCTTTAGCGAGAGATGATGTAATTTTTTAGGGGCGAAACTTCTTAAGGCGTCACCCATACGTCTCCCGTTTGTAAGCACTGGTGGCACATAGCCGAAAGAGCGGGTATATTCCACAGGAAATAGACTTTTAGGGGCGAAGCTCCTTAAGCTGTTTGACGTGCGTCCTCGATGTATGTAGTAGGTAGTCACCTCCATAACCTAGGCGACTATGTTGCCTCTAGTTTAGTTCTTTGAATGTCCACTAGATGGCGGTACTTGTATATAATCAATATTTGATGAAAGGATGCGACATGGTGGTACTCGGAGTGTTCACTAAACGGACGTACAGACAGACAGACAGACAGACAGACAGACAGACAGACAGACAGACAGACAGACAGACAGACAGACAGACAGACAGACAGACAGACAGACAGACAGACGGACAGACAGACAGACAGACAGACAGACAGACAGACAGACGCACGGACGGACAGATCGACCCACGGTTGAACAAACGGACGGATGCACGAAGGGTCGGACGGACGTTTCGCCCCACTCATCATCATTCAGTCCGTGGATATGCTGTGATTTTTATTTCATTATCGAATTTTACAGCCAAGCTGTTATGATTGGTTTGCCGTGTGTTAGAGGTAGAAAATTATCATCATCATGAATAGGCACGCACTCGATCCCAATCCAAGCATTCTGTATAGATGGTTAACAAGAGAAGCAGAAACATGTCCACTATAGCTCTGCGCTGACACAGCCTCGAGCAAGCTGCACTGTTTTTTTTTTTTTGTTTTTTTCGTTACGCTCTCCCCGTTTCAGTCTTTACAGTAAAGGCGCACAGGTAGCTCTCCGGAGAGCAAATTCGTTCTCTCTTTCCTTTGGCCAAGCAGAAAATCAAAAGTACAACCACAGCAGATGCCTATCTGTGCACTTACGGCGCAATAACGGAAGTAGCACGCGAAATTCT